GGAGATTTGAGTCTTCTATAGAAGTAAGGTACGACAGAAGGTAGAAGTTATGTGTCTTTTAGAGAAGTAAGGTAAGACAGAAGGTAGAAGATACGTGTCTTCTAGAGAAGTAAGGTACGACAGAAGGTAGAAGTTATGTGTCTTCTAGAGAAGTAAGGTACGACAGAAGGTAGAAGTTATGTGTCTTCTAGAGAAGTAAGGTAAGACAGAAGGTAGAAGATATGTGTCTTCTGGAGAAGTAAGGTACGACAGAAGGTAGAAGATATGTGTCTTCTGGAGAAGTAAGGTAAGACAGAAGGTAGGAGATATGTGTCTTCTGGAGAAGTAAGGTAAGACAGAAGGTATGTGTCTTCTCGAGAAGTAAGGTACGACAGAAGGTAGAAGATATGTGTCTTCTGGAGAAGTAAGGTATGACAGAAGGTAGAAGTGTGTCTTCTGGAGAAGTAAGGTATGACAGAAGGTAGAAGATATGTGTCTTCTGGAGAAGTAAGGTAAGACAGAAGGTAGAGATATGTGTCTTCTGGAGAATAAAGGTACGACAGAAGGTAGAAGTTATGTGTCTTCTGGAGAAGTAAGGTACGACAGAAGGTAGAAGATATGTGTCTTCTGGAGAAGTAAGGTACGACAGAAGGTATGTGTCTTCTGGAGAAGTAAGGTACGACAGAAGGTAGAAGATATGTGTCTTCTGGAGAAGTAAGGTACGACAGAAGGTAGAAGATATGTGTCTTCTGGAGAAGTAAGGTACGACAGAAGGTAGGTAAGGTAGATATGTGTGTCTTCTTGAGAAGTAAGTACGACAGAAGGTGATATGTGTCTTCTGGAGAAGTAAAGAAGTAGAGAAGTAAGGCACGACAGAAGGTAGGATTCTTCAATGTCAGGTGTATTAAACTGTTTTTTATTACAATCAATTTTTAATTAAACGACAACCAGTTGTCAAGGACAATGATATACTTACCAAATTACCTACATAGAAATGATGAAAATATTTACCAAAATACCACGGTTAGAATGACAAACGAGCCTTGGGATTATTGATACAGATCCTGACACACAGACCAGGGAGATATATCAAAGATGACTGGCCTTACCAGTTGTCAGGTTTATATTGATGGGGTGAAAGTTTGAAAATCTATGTGATAGACTGGACCATAAGTCAGTCACTTTGAGAAAATTCATTTCTTTGAAGCAATCAATAACGTTTGTCTATGGTATACAAAGCCTGGATGGTTCATAAATCTTCACTTTCTGAAATTGGCAGTGAATTAAATAAGTAGTTACTCTGATAGGCAAAGGACAGATGACTTCATAGAATTACCTTAATATTCCTAAAAACAGCGCACATAGAAAACAAATTTTATTGTGGGAGTTCTGTGTTACAAGATGTGGGTTATGATAAAGTTTATTGACAATAAAAAAACTTTGATGGGCTCTGGACTCTTCTTGTGGAAACAGAAATAGATATTTGCTGTGGTGTATAATTTCATAATGAAAACACTATGTGGTCATTTCTTGTAAAATAATGTTCTATGTATATCATATTGGACAACTGCTGTGCATCTCTGGAGCAGAAACAAATGGTTCCTCAGAATAGACTTCCTCATCTTGTATAAAATCTATTTGTCATGTATATGATGATGACCTTTCTCACTGTTTCTGAATCCAATGCCTTTGTTCTTGGTCTGTTTTGTCGTGAAATTCAATTTGGAATGAAATGAAGTTTATATCAGTGTCAACTGACAGGGTCCAGAATTGTTGAGACGTTGGTCCTGAGATGATGTAGCTGGGTAACCAGTCCTAAATCACACTAATTGGACCCCTTTAATCATCCTCACAAATTGCCTTGATGTTTCCAATTTTCAAACATCAATATTTCCAATGGATGTTTTTACTTGATTTAGTATTGAAAGCTAACTAGCAGAAGGAGACCTTCATTTCAAGGACATGAGCTAGCGTGGTAACAGTCACTAAGGTTCATGTTGTCTAGGTGAAATTTCCAATTAAACTTTTTCAATGCCAATTTGTGAAGGTCTTCAATTTTGGAATGTCATTATTTAGCCAATTGAGCTCAAAGCCACTTTTTGAATGAAGGGAAATTTCAGTTACCAGTGTTTGCTACTTCCAGATTATCAAAGGAGATGTGAATTTTTGATTTTTCAGATATCATGAGGATAAATCGTACTTGATGTCTTTAGATAGTGTTAAACTGATCTTTCTTATACCAATAGATGGTATATTATCTCCTTTACACTTATTGTGCTAAGTGATGTTCTAGAGTTATCTCCATTATATTCCAGAATTATCTCCCTTTTACTTCAGCTATCTTCCATAAATTCCAGAGTTACTTGCTATATACTCCAATGTCAACGTCTCGTATACTATTGTTTTGGTATTTTGTTGTCCTTATCCTAGTAGTAGAGTTATTTCCCTTTTCCTAGTACAGTAAAAACCACTTAATGTCACATTGGTTCTTGTCACTTTCTGGTTAATGTCATGCTTTTACAAAACACCAATTTTCCTTCTTTAAATGCCACATATTTTCATACATGCTAAGTATGATATCACTTCATTTTGTTTTGTCGAATATCGCAAGGAAACCATAGTTTCACCTGTGAATTTGACCAAGTGTAACTGTTATACAGTAGTTACTGTGAATCTGACTGACAGCTTATGACAACAGAATATATATTTCAAAGAAAAAACAAACTAAAGATAAGAAAAAATTACTGGGTTTAAGAGAATATCAAAGTCACTTATATTGTTGTTATTTATTTTTCTTTTTTTTGGGGGTCTTCAAACAATTTCTGTAAGAAACAGGTCAGCTTGGCACATCAGAAAGTTCACTTGCGGGTTTAGACATCAGAAAAAACATGTCCACTGTTAATGTCACACACTAGTTATGATTTAATTTTCTCATGACAAATTATAAATGATATTGATTTATTTTCAGTGCAACTTAATTCCATTTTCTTAAGAGGCAAAATTAGCTCCCTCATGTATTTGATATTGTTCTTCATTCTTCAAATCAAGTACTATAATCTGAGTATGTACATGTTGGATTACGAGGCTCAGAAAAAAAATCCATCATATACATATATCATACAGCAATACATTACCTGTTCTATTGTTGAGCAAATCAGATTTTTTCAAGTTATGAGTAATTTTCAAGTAAACTGCTAATTCATGGGAAAAAATTCAAATCATATAAATTTTTCTTTTTCGAGATAAAAAGGGTATGTTACCAGTGATAGAGGTAGATCTCTGTTCTAAGCCTATGTCATGTTTTAAGGTGGAGGTTGTCTCAGATCTTTGTTCTAAGCTTATGTTATGTTTTAAGCTGAAAGTTGTCTTGGATCTCTGTTCTAAACTTATGTCATGTTTTAAGCTGGAAGTTGTCTTAGATCTTTGTTCTAAGCTTATGTCATGTTTTAAGGTGGAGGTTGTCTTAGATCTCTGTTCTAAACTTATGTCATGTTTTAAGCTGGAGGTTGTCTCAGATCTCTGTTCTAAGGTGATGTCATCTTTAATCTGGATATTGTCTTAGATCTCTGTGCTAAGGTAATGTTATGTTGTAAGCTGGAGGTTACTTAAGATCTCTGGTTTAAACAGATGTTGTGTTTAACACTGGAGATTACCTAAGATCTCCATGTTGTGTTTTAAGCTGATGTTGTGTTGTAAGCTGGAGGTTGCTTAAGATCTCTGTTTTAAGCTGATGTTGTGTTGTAAGCTGGAGGTTGCCTGTGTTGTGTGCCTTCCTCATACCCTGCCGATTTCCCCACAACTGTTTGCCAGTATTTTAAATCCAGTGTTGGAGAATTCTCGTGCATTACCCCCTAGGCTCACACTTGTTTAGAATTACTGGAGTTTTTGTTGAAATCAAAATGAAGTTAAAATTGAAATGAAGGCCTGGCTTTGTGAAGCTTTCTCCATTTTATGGAAGCTTTTGTAAGCCTGGTGCTGGAACGGATTTGTCGTTTAATGGTAGCGGCGTAATGGCCCCGCAAGGGACACATTGTTTATCAATTAATTGACTAGGCTCCCAGTTCACTGATTCTTCCCGTCTTTTTGATACATTATACAATTTAAATCCAACAGAAAACTTCTAAAAAAAAAATCATTAAAGAATTTTAAATGATTGTGTATTCCTTCAACAGAATAGGAAATGTGGCATATTCGAATGTCAAATTCTACGGTTTTTTTTGCTGTATTGGAGCAAAATATTTCTCTTGGGTCTATTTAGATGCGTAGGATGAGTTGAATGATGAGAAAATTTTGTATTAATTTCTTGGTTACAAGTGGCAGTTGGATTAACATTCTCTGAACTTTATTTAGTCAAGCAGATAAACTCTTTTACACTTTTAAGACCAAATTATGTCCTGGATGTGCCTGGATGTGGCAGTGGATTTAATTCTATCATGTTAGAGGATTCAGAATTCAAATTTGTTCTCAGGTTTAAGGTTAGGAACAGTTATGATAATATCAGAGCGCTGAAACTCTTCTTCCGTTATCCATTTAATCTTATCACAGATCCCTATTACCATGCCTCTATTTCAGATGTCATTTTAAAGATTCGTTCAAATAAAAAAGAAAAACGAATTTTCTTCGCTAATTTTTCAACCGGTATTAATTTGTATCGCTTGCAATGCAGCGTTTCTGGTTTCCTTTTATTTCCATGAATACAAGGTTTAATTTGTGTTTTTTTTTATCTTGAAGTCAATCTAATGAAGGAAGCTGGATGTTTTTCTGTGTAATTTACACTCAGTCATTTCTTTCACTTCATTTTACATTGTTTTATTAGATTCCACAGATTTGAGAACCGGTTTCAAAAGAGATAATTTGCAAACCTCTTTGCCATTTTTCAATGAAATGGGTAACAAGACAATTAGGATGTATTAAGTGATGGTACACTGAATATTCCTTTCGGAAGCAAGACCTGGGAGGTCCGTGTACTGGAGAGGGTTCTGTAGAGGTATGATAAACACAATTTATGGTGAACATCTAGATTACCTGGACAAAACCCATGACATTTGATCTATTGACACATCTGTTGGCACATCTGTTGATGTAACTGTTGACACATCTGTTGATACATCTGTTGACACATCTGATGATACATCTGTTGACATATCTGAGGACAAATCTGATGACACCTCTGTTGTTACATCTGTTGTTACATCTGTTGACACATCTGATGACACATCTGTTGATACATCTATTGATGTAGCTGTTGCCACATCTGTTGATACATCTGATAACACATTTGTTGATACATCTATTGATGTAACTGTTGACACATCTGTTGATACATCTGTTGACACATCTGTTGATACATCTATTGATGTATCTGTTGACACATCTGTTGACATATCTGTTGATACATCTGATGATACATCTGTTGACATATCTGAGGACAAATCTGATGACACCTCTGTTGTTACATCTGTTATTACATCTGTTGACACTTCTGTTGACACATCTGATGACACATCTGTTGACACTTCTGTTGACACATCTGATGACACATCTGTTGACACATCTGATGACACAACTGTTGAGATATATGTTGACACATCTGTTGACACTTCTGTTCTGTTGACACATCTGTTGATACATCTGTTGAAACATCTTTTCCAGTCAGAGGACCAAACCTCAAAACCAAAAGAAGTCTCACGCCTGTTTGTATTTACATATTTGCACAAGTTTAAATCTACTCAAGAGTTTAATGAGAAATTGAATTTGCACAGTTGTGAGTCTCATGAGGTTTGTATTTGCACAAGGGTTTCCCGAGAGTTGAAATTTGTTGAAGGATTTTATGAGTGTTTGTGTTTTTATAGAACTCGCACGAGACTTAAGATTTCATGATTGGCTTATGTTAAATATGTATTCACAAATCATGGCATTCTTTGAATTCTCTTTGATTAGACTGTAGTTTTTGTGAGAAGGAAATCTTTTCCAATTAATGCAATTTTAAGGACAACTCTGTAAACACTCAGTATGTTGGTAAATACCAGACTACTGATTGTTGCTGTTTGACATTTTCAGTATTTTTATATCTTCTTTCTCTGTATCTGATTTTGTCAAAAGCAGTTTCTTTAAAAAGGGATTTATACTGATGATAAAACATATTTGATCAAGTTTTTGTTGTTGGTTAGTTAAGGGTTTTCCGTTTTAACTTATTTATCTTACTGCACTAAGGAACTCTTTCATTAGGATCTAATTGTATTTTTATTCTTTCACAGCCACGCTAATTACAAGTCATTTGCCCTCACAGTAAATTTATGAGAGTAAACTCTTCTTAACTCAAATGCAAGAGATTCAAAGAAGGGAAATAACTCCTCCATAATCATGATAATTCCTATTCTTAACAAAATCAATGAATCAAGTTCAGCTTTGGTCTGGATTACCGTAAAAAAAAATACCCTTAAAGTACACAATTTTTGTTGATGAATTAAAGGTCAAAAGTAGGAGGTACTCACATGACATAGCGAAAGGTTTTGAAGTTTTTCTTTCCAAAGAAATATTGAAGATTCTGCAATGCCGCTGTCCGTGACGATCAGGATTATTTTGTACTATATTTATAAGTATGAAATAAATTTCATCTCAGAATTTGATAAAAATACTTTTAACCAATCTCTTCTGGTATAATAAAAATTTGTTTAAAATTTTTAAAAAGTTTTCTAAAAAAATGTTTAAAATTCTGTAACTGTAGCCTTTTGGGGAATTTTAGTTTCATGTTTTAAGTTCATATTTGCATTCTTGAAGATACTTTAATGGTATTTTGAAAGAACTGATGTAAATTTTGGAAAGAAAATAAGAGGAAATTCGCCAGCCTTTTAAGCCAGTGATGTGTTGTTTAAAAATTGACTCTGTATCACACCCCCAGTGCCTTATTGTTAATGTACAACCAACGATTGTGAAGATTTGATAACACTTGTCACTCGGGCTGTAGAAACCGAATGTGTTTTCTTAAAAAAGTGGATCTGTAAAAGGTGACGAGGATGAATATTACAGAATGAGGTTGACATGTACTTTGTTTGAAAAAATCAATATAAACTTGAATTGAAATCAATTGTATGGTTAAGAATATTTTGTTGTGTCTAATCCGATAGAAATTTAAACATGTAACTTTGTTGTGTTTACTGTATACATAATATTTTATCATTGTTAGATCTTTGTGTAGTTTTAAAAGAGAAAAAAACACTACGTTTATGTATCTTCTTTTCGTATATCTTTATACGTACTTGTAGGAGATGTGACATTCTGTTATGATAATTAACATTATTCCAAATTTCTAAAAGACCACGAGGTCGGCATCGCGTCACTTTGTATGTCTTTATAACCAGCAGTACGTATGTTGGCTTGTGCTTGTTCCAGGATGATTATGGTTCGACTTGAATTACAAGGGAGCCTTTGGCATTTTGAAGTTTTAGTCTGGTAGATGGTAGGAATATTGATACATATTGAGTATACTACATGAAAGCGTTAACCGTTACGCCGACATAGGCGCTGTTTAATCGTACTTAATATATTGATGAGGGTCCAAACTTACGATACTTTTAAGTGTCGTAAAGGGTTTCAGCTCTTACATCAATAAGTAAAGGGAAATCTAAAATAAAAATGTTACAAATACATCTACATCCTCGTGAAATGTCAGGAGATAACACTGGAGAGTCACAAATGCCTAGAACAGAAAGACATTGACATGTAGAATTGGCTTCATCGAAAGAACTGTCAGAGATCAACATGGGACAGGAAGTTAGAGAGAAACGCGAATGATGATTATTTTATAGTCCGCACAATAGCATGCCAAGAGTTAGACAAGAATCAATTATTTTAGTGTGAAAGCACAGTTTGATATTAGGCATGATTAGCACACAAGGTTATTGTTATAATGTTATTACACAAATGGTGGGTAATTCCTGTGCTGTCAGTAAGCGGATTGTTGTCACGTTATGAAGAGGATGCTAGGTTAAGGCTCGTCATTTATTTCCATTTGTAGAAGTCTGTACAATAGATATAAGATAAAGGATAGTTATCTACATTACTGAAATGATACACACGGTATCATCTCAGCTCTAACTTAATTCTGTATCAAGTGTTGTTTAAACAAAAATCACTTAAGGCGGTATGCAACCATGTGCATTATTTTCATATGATTTGTATTAAAGTTATTGCCCTTGAGGTGAAGTTTGACATTACCATTAGAATTGATTGGAAATAATATCATAAATAAAATATACAGATTTTTAAATGACACTGATGCAGGGATGGAGCACTTGGACGATTAAAACTTAAGCATGATGATTAGAAATTAGAGCATTCTTTCTCCTTTTTTGTGTACGACATTTGGTAGGTCCAACTTCAAAAATACTACCGTAATTATCTAGCAAAAAGCCCATTTTCATGATAAGCCCACCCATATCTACTGTTCAACTAAACCATAACTAATACTATTTCTTTTTTATGTATAAACCCAGTCCCTGTGTGTTGTTCTCCTGGGCTAATCATGGGAGAAATACAATTTATTTATTTATCTGTTTTTTCACCTGTTCAGTGTATTATTGAGTGACCTTGACTCGCATAACTGACAAAGAAAACCCCAATATCCTTGATCTTCTACATTGTTCATTAAAGTGCTGTTTTTTTTAGAAACAGTATTACATTTTGTTATATTTTTCACAGAGTTTTGGAATTGTCAATCAATATGTTGGTGGTTCCAAACATAAATACATGACCATTATCCAAAGAAATGGATGTCGGAAATTTTACAGTGAAATTACCTTTATTATAGGAGTTCACTAATTACCAAGTACAATACAAAAATTAATTTGTTCGACCTTTTCAAGGCTGCACACACAGGACAAAAGGAACAAGATCATTAAGAATGAATGATATTATTGAAGGCATTTTTGAGGTTGCAGAAATTAGGACTTTTTTGGGTTGCTTTGTGACATCACAGTAATTCATGTTTCATGTGTTTCTGAGGATAGTAAGCCATATTTCAAGTGAAGATGTGATGGATGTAAATATATCATTTGTGACTTGATGGTACACTGAGAGTGTAACTTATATATCTAAGAATGAAGAGAAGGATAGGTATAAGATTTTTAATATTCCTGGATTCTTGTGTAGAACTTAAAAATCTTATCCTTGGGTTGACTTATCTCTGCCTGACAATACATGAGAGTGGTTTTTTTTATCTTCTAGACACAGAATGTCTTCATGTTGGTGAACATCACTATCTGTGCATTTCTGTTGAAGAATTTGACCTTTATACTGCATAATTTGACCACTCTATAGAAGAATTTGACTTTGTGTTGAAAAACTTGATGCAATGATAAATCTGGCGTACAGTAATGCATCTCTGTCAGTGTTATTTAACGAATGAAGAATTATGATAGATGATCTCCAGAGACTACAATCACCTCACGTTTTTTCCTTCACAGAGTGTTTCTTTCACACTCATACAGAGAAGAGGTGCTTATTAACTATTGTTGATAATCAATCATGATTTTTAGGTAGGGACAAATTAAAGTGGATCATGATCAGAATGAATCACATGACTGTCATGTGATGTCATTCTCAAATATACAGAAAGTGACAGAGGCTTTGACCTTCAGTGTGTTTTTCAGTTTCATTTTGATGCTCTCACGTCATGTAGGGTTCCTAATCATTGTCATATCTTGAGTACCTTTTGACAGATTTGGTTTATATTTACCCCATCATCTGTAACATCATGTTTTACACCTGATCCAATTCTGTTTGGTCTTAAAGTAGGACATACATATGTAATAACCACTCTCTAGTTCTTCAAAAATTCTTTAAAAGTTAGTCACACTGCTAAATACTGGCCTTGTTCAGATCAACATCAAACTGTCTTTCGGCACAAATTTATTAATTTTCAGTCGGCTGATGGTTTTGACATCTGCGGAATAACCAGACAGGAATCAGGGGAGTTTTATTGTGACATTTGTGAGGAAGAAATAATAGTCTTTAAGTTTTCTTCATCAGACAGTTACAAGTCCCTGTGAGGCTTAGTGTGATAAAATCTGACAGGTCCTGGCCCTTTATTGCTTCTGTTTACACAGTACCATATGCAATTATTGCAAAATGAAGATAATATAATAGTATTTCAACTTTGAGTCATCACAAGAGGTTAAGTACAGATTTTATACTTGGCTAGACATTGTTCAATAAAGTCTAGCCCAAGTTCTATTTCTAGTTCATAAACCATTACTGTTCTATATCTATATCTACATATATGACAAGGAAGGTGATAAATATTTAAGACTATTGCTAAAAGGTTACAACTCAAAAGAGTCGCGATCTTATAATTCTTTAATGGTTTCTGGAAATAATTTTGATGCCTGAGTTATCTCCCTCTTGCCATGAAGTATTAATTAGCAGTATTTTCTTGTTATATAGATAATACATAGACTAGGTCTTTTTAACAGTGACCTGTTAAAGTGTAACTTCAGAAATATTTCATAGCTGGATATTACCATGTAATGCATACTTATTTGTAAGCTCAGGACCAAGACACAATTTTAGGACTATCTAGAAAATTACTGAGCCTTTGGCTAAACTAGCATGCATTTATCCTGAAAGGAAAAATGTTGTTATTGTAACGGTTAACTGTTTCTACTGCAATTTTAGACTTTTGGAATAAATTT